CTATTAAAACATAGAGAGAATTGTAAGGTTTTGTCTGTGAAATTTAAACAAAATCCAGATTTTCCTATGAAAATACAGAAAATTCAGGTTTTCCTACGAAAATATAGAAACTTTGCGAAAAATAGAGAAAATGCAGGTTTGCCTCTGAAAATAAGAAGAAAACGGAATATTTCCTAGTAAAACACTAAAAAAAAAACCCAAAAAAAATTCCCAAAAAAATACACCTCCGCCCAAAAACAGCACGCAGAAGCACGCATGCTCGAACTCGGCATGCACAGAGCCTGGCTCTGGTCTGCCGCAGGTACTGGCCCTCAGGGCAACTGCCTGTGCCACTACCAACCCGCTGGGTCCGCGAATTCCCTCTGGAGCCCAAGACGGCCCAGGCAAGCGAGCAACGGAGCGGGAGTAGATGGGAGAGGGGCCTGGGCGGTGTGCCTGTGCGTGTGTGACTTTCGTGCGGAGCGCTTGCCACATGCAGAGGCGAGTGAAGCCAAGCTTCGGAGGCACAGCCGATGCGTAGCAGCCTGACGATGCTCGCTCGCTGGCTCGGTACGAGTATAGTGCTTTGCCTTCACGGTTCCTTTAATGTGCCTGCATTGCCGGCCTAAACAGTATCAAGGGCTTGGCGGGCTCGGCGGGCTTGGCACAAAACGTTTCTCAGAGGCACCGTTTTCTCTGACGAGTGCCGACGTGCCAGTTAAAGAAGTCAGCACGCGCCTCTCGGGTCTGAGAGTCAGAGCTACCACTGCACTGGCTTTGCAAGGTGCTGCGCCTTGCAAAAAACTGTCCCCAGTGTCATTGTGACTTTCACTCGGCAGCCACTTGCAAGCAATGTTGGAAGAATGAAATGATTGTTCGAGCTAGCTCGAATGTCGTCATCACAGCCGGCAGAAGAGTCTCCGGCACGCGCATAAAACACCACCGAAAAGCAAATATGCATTTAAGCATAGCTTAGGTTTCCTTGGCAAATGGTTTTTGCATGTCTGTTGTGGGGGTTAGCATGCCTGGCAGACCTACAGGCAGTGTAACTCTTGAAGTGGGCGCCGCCTCCGAAACTCTTCTGCTCTTCTTCCTGTTGCATGCCTGGCCAGGTCCCTTCTGTCCACAAGGCATAGGTTGTGAACCCTGGAGCGACCTCTTCTGGACTGTAGGACGGACTCGAAGATCGTAAACACTCTGGTCTGGGCCTACGTAAAGCCTTGCTTTGCCTTGCTTCAACAGCTAAACAGTCCAGTCCTCCGCCTAGCATGTGCTCATGTCCCGTTAGAAAGAGAGCTTGTACTGACAGCTCACCAGTTTCGACGACGGGGGTGCTCTTTGCACCCTTCACCTCACGCGTCATCGAGACGATTTCCATCGGAAGCCATTCGTAGGCGCAGATCCAGAAGAGGCCTGGCAGGTGGCGTCTCTCGAGCTTTCTGCCGCAATTCCAATGACAGTGCCAGACAGAGTACCATCTTACACGAGCGACCATGAAAGTAGACAATGCAAGTAAAGCAAATGCAGTCCTCAAAGCTGTTCTTGCCTGCTTGCATTGCAGCTTCTGAGCGGGCTAGGTGCAACAGGACTAGTTGAACGTTCTGTTGCCCAGTGTTGACCCTGGCTCCCCACCTTGGTCGGCCCGAGCGACATGGAGTTCAGGTTTATGCCTCGGTTCTCCTCACAAGTCTTCGATTCTATGGGGCTTCCCGGCTTCTGCCAATGCCACTGTCCATGACGCACATGCCCAAAGCAATCTCCTGCGAGACGGACTTTGGGACCGGTGGTGCAACCAGCTTTTTGTAGCCTCGGCATCATAGTCAACATGAGCTCTCTCTCTCTCTCCCCAAGAGCCCTCAGAAGTTTAACCAGGAAGCTGTTGCTCGCAGCGCACATGGAGTCGGAGTAGAGAACGCCATTTCCCAACTCTTGGGCCACTGAACGCTCCTGAGCGCTTGCTGCCGATTTGTCCTTAGATGCAAGCGGTGCTGGCACCAAGCTGCTCAACACCTTCAAGCGCATGCAGCCAAAGTGTCGTTGGAGGACCAGGCCTCACGAGAACACAAGGAACGGATGCAGTGTTTGCTTCGCTCTCTACGGCCCCCCCCCCCCCCCCGCCCACCCCTTTGCCTCGTTCAGGTGCTGCAGAACTTCCAAAACCTCACGGGATCCCTCGTAGCCTGTGTACCTGTGCTCCTGAGCGCAACATGCTGCATTTGGCGGTGCCTCGCTCCCTAATGCCACCATCAGGTTCTTGCCAGTTGAAGTAAGGCTCCTTGTAGGGATGCTGGAGGCACCACCAGTTCAGGATCATGTTCCTCCCTATCGAGCCTGCGCGAAGATGCTTATCATGCTCTGCAAAGCCCAATCCGAAACTGCAAGCCTTGAACGGAGTGCCACCAGAAGATTGGAAGGTAAAACCTGGGGTGTGATCGCGGTTTCGTCCATGCTTGCGGAAACTCCGACCGTGACCGTTCACATGGAAAAAGCCAGTCAGCGGACTGGGCATGGCTGGGTGCATTGCAAGCGGCAGGTCTCCAGCTTTCAGGTGGACCTTCTGGGGCTGTGCCTTGCGCAGCTTAATCGCAGAGACAACCGGCTGCAGGTGGCAAAGTCAAAGAGTCAGGCTCGCGTCTTCTGACACATCCCTGCTTCGTGTCGCCGAGCGACATACTTGTAGTGGCCCCAGTTCTTGTCAACCTGCACACACTGGTGGTTCGCAGGCCTTTGCCGTGCTTCATGTTTTGAAAGATCTATTTTGCACGGCAGGGCGTAGAGCAAGCGATCCCACGGAAGGCCTCCTCCGGCACATGGTTCGGATCGATGAAGGGTGGTACTAGTGAGTTGAGGAACTTCTTCACTGTTGTGTGCATACCTTGCAATGCATCAACGTCGTACCCCTACCCCCCTCATAGCCCTTCATGGAATGTGTGCGGCGAGGGGAGGGTTCGCAAAGAGGGCTTCGGCTGGGTTACCTCAGCATTTCGGATGCTAAGCTCAATCAAGGCGCAGGCTGCATCACAAGGTGGGTAGATGTCCATGAACTTCTCACCCATCACAACCATTAACAGATTCTCCGATGGATCGGAATGGATGCAGGTGGTGTTCCCACCACAGCCAAAATAGGTGTGCACTCCCTTGTTGTTTTCCCCAAAGCAGGTGCCGAATTTTCGCCACGGGGAATTCGGAGAGTTGTTAATGTCCTGCCACGGCATCGACAGGGCTGCATCAGGGCACATGGCCTTCGCTTTTGCAGCCTCTAACGCCCTGCAATCCCAAACTCGTCCTATTTCAACTGATAATGATATTGCCTTCCTTAAATTTAAGATGTCCGCTGGCATCCTCAAAAAGCTCTGGCAGGTCTGTGTGCAGTGGCAGCTTCCCCATGTACCAGGAGATGCAGGTCTCGTGCTCTTCGGCAACTTCTACCAAATCCAAATAATCCTGAGCGTGTCTGGGGCACAAGACCCTTCCTCTCATCACCAAAACTCGCGTGAAAAGAAACCCCAATTCTGGGAACTGCTGCAGGCTGCCGCTCATACATCCTTTGGCTAGGGGGTCGCAACTCCGGCAGGAGTCAAAAGCGGGGGAAAGAAAACAGAACAAAAACCCACTACTGGGAGGCCAGAGGACTGGGAGAACGGAGAAAGAGAGCCGCAAGAAAGAGACAGAGACAGAGACATGAGACAGGGGACAAGGAGAGAAACGAGCGAGAGAGACGGAGAGAGAGTGAGTGCGGGAGAGAGCGAGATGGGAAGGTGACGGGAGGGCGGGGGGGAGGACCACAGTAAGCGGATTTGCCGCGCAGTTTCCGACACAGAGATTTCAATCGTGGGGTCGTTGAGGAACAGCTGTCGCCCCTTGTTGTCCCAGCAAGAATCGCCCTTGACCTTGACATAGCGATGTCCACATCGGGCTCGCATGTAATCGAAGTCCTGCTGAGAGACGATACTACGAGGCATGGGTTTCTGCAAGAGTCGAAAGTCTCATCCGAGACTGCGCAGCCAGATTTGCTGGGATTGTGTCAAGTGAATTCCACTGTTCGACATGTTCTGGCTTAGTCTTCTGGGCCACTCTTAACGTCGCAGCTAATGGTTCATGGCTGGGTCCGCGAAGTCGGTGGCCGGAGGGAAGTCTTTGGGATTGCATGCGCCCTCGATGATGACAGGCTGGTTTCGCAGCACCTTTCGTGCAATATCCGATTGTCCATAGTGTTCAGAGCACCCACTTTGTCACAAGTGCGGGTCTTGTGCAATCAAGCAGCAAACTCCCAGACCTGCACACCGGCTTCATGGCGCAAAAAACACTTGCCAGTATCTCTCTAGTTGGAGCACTCCGTGAAGTACAAATTCATCCCACGAATGGGCACGATCACAAGCAACCCTACCTGGGCGGCTGTGGGGTTCTTGAGTCGCGCCACAGGCGGCGGCTCCGTGCTGATGATGTGCTGAGGTGCCAGCCCTAGCCTTCGATGTGTCGGAAATCCGTCTCAGTAAATGTACGCTTACTGCTTACGCTTCTGGAGATCACTGGGCTACGGTTCCGGTTGCTGTATTGTCCGGCTGGGACTCGGCTCATGCTGGACTCCGCAAGAACTCTTCTGCCAGGGCTCTTCTCGTATGCCGCCCAAGTGCGCAACAATCCTTGGGCTTGCAAACGCGCATGGCTTCGGATGCTCCGAACTTCTCCTTCCGGGCCGATTCCGGGCTGATTTGAGCCGGAGTTGCCGCAAGTCAGGCCACCCGGAGGGTTCCGCTCCTCCTTGAGGCGCCGAGCCGCCATCAAACCGCGAGCCCGTGCCTCTCAGCGATCAAGACCGAAGCCAAGGAACAGCAAAAGGTGAAGCCACCAGAAGATGGATGTTTGAAGCAATATCACTGTCAAAGCTTTCGTGCTGAGCGCTGGACTGCTTTCTCCTCGGTTGCACTGCGGAGGCTGTACCGTGAATACATCTTCATCTTCAGACCCCTTGACATCTTATCGTGTTCGCAGGCGTTTTCAGTATGGTTTCCTTACGTTTCTCGGTCCAAGTGGCAAGTGGGGTTTCACAGCGAAGATTCAGGAAAAACTCTTCTATCTCTGTGCCGCTGCTGTCCTCAGCTGCGTTCGACAGACTCTGCGACTCTGCCAGAGATAGCTGAAGATATTCGCCTGAATTTTATCGCAGTCTCTCCAGCAGCTCCATATATACAATTCAAGAAATCCTCACGGAACAGTCACCAGGTCCAAGGGTGCACCATGCAACAGATTTCAGAGGCTTGCACGAGGCTAAGTAATAAGAAGCACGATTTCTGCAGCCTCAGCTTTCACCTCTTGGATGATGTTCTGCAGAGGGCTCATGCCAATCAGCATCAGCGCCTCATCAGCCAGGCATCCTTGGCACACGAGCATGGCTGTGAATCCACTGAAGGTTTACGTCTTCGTCTTCCCTGGGTTATCCTACCAGTAGTCGGACAGAAGGCTGAAAGCTCACACCTTAGCCCAGCATCTGATCTCGATGTCACCTTCGGTGATTCGTCTCTGCACAGAGTTTTGGATGCGCTGTAGCCCTTCCGTCGTGCCGGGCAGCCCGTAGGCCTCGGCAATGTCCTGAGTTCTATTCTTGCAACCGGTCTTCTGGGAAGACGCGGGGAGGCCGACAGAAAAGAAGGAAAGACGCGACGACTGCGACGAGCACTTTGCAGAGTCTCCGTCTGGCAAGGCCACAAAAGTTCTCGAAGCTCAGCCATGTGATCCTCCGCGACACTCGACATCGTTCTTTGCTCTGCTGCAGAAGGGGCAGGGTTTATGGTCCTCCGATGCGACACCTGCAGCACTGGCTTGAAGCTGAGCTCTTCTCTGCTTCTCCTGAGCATCGAACCACGCGGAAGAAAGAACAAAGCAACTCAATAATATCTCTCAGCACGGCGAAAGCCTACAAAGCAACAGCGCAATAGCCTGTGGCGATTGCAAGCCTCTAAGATCATGTGCAGCATTGTAACATTGTAAGGTTCGGTTAGAACAGCCACCTGACAGCTTGGACTTTCCAGGCCAAGTTCTGCACCAGACAAGCGCACGAGACTCTCGGAATGTTGCATCCGTGTTGGTGCACCCGTGTTGGAGTCTTGTAGACATGGCACCAAGTCACAACAGATTGGAGTCTGACACGAGCTACTATCAATGCCAGTCGAGTGCCGATCGAAGTCGAAGAGCCAAGAGCCGACCACAACCCCCCTCCCTGCTACGGAACATTCCAGCGACCGGTGCAATCAAGTCTCGTAGATGTCTCTAATCTTCCTTTGAAGATCTGGGTCACTGTATGCAGCTATCAGCTCCGCCACAATCTCTCGCAACTCATCCTTAGCCATCTGTTCATTTAATTTCCCGCTGCCAGCACTGAAGCAAACATGGACTCTAGATTACACAACTGACAGCCAGCTAGTGTTGCCAAGGTGCTGGTTCAATTTCTCGTCCTGCGCCGCTGCCCGGGCTTTGCAGAAGGATCACCTAATGCCCACTGATGCTCCCCATCTGCTCTGGCTGAAAATGAATGTCAACATGTCAACCGGCAACGACAAGCACGCATGAAAGCAATTTCCTGCAAAAGCAAGTGCACTGGACAGAATCTCTACCACGAAGCGTTCTCATATCTTCTCATCAATATATTCTCAACTACCTTCAACTACAATTGAATCTCATGGAAGACGAGTTGCTGCATCGCGAACGGAACTGACCTCAAGAGGCTTACAGGAAGTGCATACAGCTCATGTGCCCGCTTGCAAGAAAAGCTGGACCGCAACGTAAGCACCAAGAGGCGGGAAGCTGTGCTGTCGAGATCATGTCCTGCATGGCTAGATATGATTGGCAGGCAGAGGCTTTCAGGACAAACGCGCATCTTTGACATGTCAGGGTCGCAGCAGCAGAACCTTGCTTGTGAGCTGCATCTCTGTCGATCGTTCAACAGAGGATTGCGAGGTGTCTTCGGCAGTTTCCTTCCTTGCTGTAGTTTGTTTCCGATTTTTTGGACCGGTCTTGCCACATGCTTGCGTTCAAACTTTCCGCACCCGACGCTTGAGACTTTTGTCCCTGACATTCTTCCGGCAGCTGATCCACGGATCCCGTGTCTTAGACCATGGAAAGAGGTGGTGGATGTGGCACATGTTGCCTCTGTGGTTCGCACTTGTGACCACAGATGTAGCAGTCGTAGCAACAGCCGTTGCAGCCGTAGTGTGTCGTAGTCATCGTTGCTATCGTCGTCGTGTGATAACGATAGTGTTAGACAGGAGTTGTCGGTTATGGTTCTTCTTGGCCACACACAAACACGTTTACACACACACGCACGTACATAGTTCTCCGCACGCGTCTTGGAAACAAGCAAGCAAGCAAGAAATCAATCAACCAATCAACCCCAAAGAGCGAGCGGGCCTGTGAGGAAGCAGCAGCAAGGCGAGCAATCAAGGCATCGTGCAAACAAGGAAGGACACAAGGCGGCACGCAGCGGTGCTGCGACTGCCTCTGTGACGATCAAGACAACGATTTGGATTGCTGATGCAGCAGCAACAGCTACCACTGCTGCTTCTGCGGCTAGGTACTACGTACTACGTACTACGTACTACGTGCTACTGCTACTGCTACTGCTACTAGCAGTGCTACTGCTACTGCTACTGCTACTGCTACTGCTACTGCTACTGCTACTGCTACTGCTACTGCTACTGCTACTGCTACTGCTACTGCCAGGCTACTGCTACTGCCACTGCCACTGCCACTGCTACTGCTACTGCTACTGCTACTGCTACTACCACTACTACGACGACGACGACTACTACTGCTAGTACTAGTGCTGGTATGTTCTGGTGTTTCTTCTCTCGCTACTCCTAATTACTGCCACTGCTACGACGACTGCTGCGGCTACCGCAACGAATGAGTCATGTAAAACCAGTAAATGAATGAACACATAACTAAACAAATAAATGACGAAACACACATACATATATATATATATATGTACACATTCACATACACATACACATACACGTACAGATACAGATACAGATACGGATACTACAGCTCAGATACAGATACAAACACAGATACATACACACATATACACACATACACAGAGACGCACATACATACATACATACATACATACATACATACATACATACATACACGCACATACAGCCTGAATTTTGCATTTATGTCTGCAAACTACCGAATACATGCTAAATCAAACACCGGGCAGGTGGAGTCGCCACAGCAGAGGGTCCTCAGGTTGCTTGGCCTTGGCTTGCACTGTCTCCATTGCCCTCGATGCTTCTTCACCTTTCACCACCAAGGGAGGTGAAGCAAAAATGACAAACGCAGCAAGCTGTGTAACAGGTACAGAAAATCCCGTCCATGTCCCAGTCCATGATGCAGCTCCAAGAGGCTCACGCTCGCAATGGATCCCCAGTTCACCTGCATGTCCTTCAAGAAGGACGGGGATGCGACCATCGCCATGGCGAGTTCGCCCTGTGAAAGTGTTGCCTGCGATCTAATCTCAGCAACACCGGGCTCCACACATCTCGAGCATGGCAGCTGCAGTTTTCACAGGACACTACTCGCCTTGCTCGGACATCCTGGGGCATGCAGCAGCGGATTCTGCAAAAAGCCCCCTCTAAAGCCGAAACAAGATGTCCAAACTACACAGCGAGCCGCTTGGAGCATGTTGAGTGGAGCATCGCCCATGTTGCAGGCTGCAACCTGACACTTGGATTTCCTGGCCCCTCATTCTCAGGCCAGCTCGACATGTAGTAGTGGGCAAGTATGACGTTGAGCACTTCTACCGGCGGTTACTGAGTAGCTATTCTTAAGCGCAAGCTGCGCCAAAGCCTATCGCGAATAAGGGTGTGAACGTGTAACTCACCGCACACATCACAATCAAGCCAACAACAATTCGGGTGATCAGGCAACTGAATTCTCCCAGTATGCGCGGCGTGCAAATGCAGAGAGGACTTGCTGAAAGGCAATGTCTTTCAGGAGCCAAGTGTTTTTGTAAATCCAGGTCGCGGGAAAGCATGGTCAGCTGCAGCAATCGCCAGGGAGCAACTGCCACACAGTCAGGTGCTGTCGCAGGCATTGCAGGCAAGGCGATAATGGACTGCTCGGTGTAGGCTCGTCTAAACAGGCTCAGTACTGCTGTGGGGTCTTTGCCCGGTGCTCCGGACTCTAGCTGCCGGAATGCACTATAAAAAGACTGCCCCGATCCATGCAGACAGCATCAATTTCGTAATCCCTCCTTCGCAGGATCTTGGCCACACTGTGCCTCGCTCTTAGAAACAAGCCACCGAACGCTCATCTGCAGTAAAGGTTCTGAAACCGACTTCATCTCTTCGTAGCTTTCTCCGGTACAGCACGCTGACCACCTCAGCCCTGCAAAGTCAGCTGACGGGGAACAGCAAAGACCTGGCAACGTGAGCCGGTTTCAGATATCCCTCTGCTCCACCCCCATTTGGAGCAGGCCGAGGCAGGGTCTTATGTTGTAAGGTGCTTTGCTGATCTTAGCCGACAAGACCATATTGCCAGGCACACCAAAGAGAAGAAGGCGGAGCGATCTAGCGCCACCTGGATGGCAAAGCTCTGCACGAACATTTCGAAACAGTCGTAATCAACCGGGAAAACCTTCACGCAGCTCTGAGGCCCGCGCAATGCCGGAGGACTTGCCTCCCGCCAGGGACTGGCCTTCGCATGCTACAAGTGCGATTGCTGCAGCTTCCGATGAGCAGCTTGGATCCCGGCCAAGGATGGGGCTGAGAGTGTTCAGCCTGGGCTGCCGACTTCAGAGGCACCCGTCAACAGGAGACGAGCCACCCCTGATGCATCATGCCGTGCGCCGTGCGGTGTCAATAGTGCGGGATTTTGCTCTCGGTTGCTGAAACCTGGCAGAAATGGCGCGACAAGCGACCGTGACGCGCAACCGTCCTTTCCGAGCATGCTGAGCACGAGTCATTGCTCGTAGAGCTGCACCTGAACACAAGAAAGACAATATCTTTCGGGGCGCATGCCAGCATGTGGTTATTTCGGCGAAAGCCTCTAGGAGCATCTGCAAAAACTCGTCGAAGCTCAACCGGTTGGAACGATCTACATCGTAGCCTTGGCTTCGCGACGCCTTGCGCCCGCACTCGCGGCGTGTCTCTCACGCACACCCTCGAGCTTCGAGCTGAGACGGATGTTGTCTACCGCGTCAGCACCTTGGCCGGGCAATGCTTCACACGTCAGCATCTTTCTGCGAGACTCGACAATCTAACACACGGCATCTGAGGCAACGGCTGAGGGTTAAGCCAAAGGCTGCCAGGACACTGCCTGCATACAAAGTGCCGACACCGACTCTCCGTGTTTCTCTTCTTCAGCACGGTCAAGTGGGCACGAGCAGCCCTTGCACCCCCTGCGCGTAGCCGCGCCCTTGTTCCTCCCTCTCTCTCTCTCTCTCTACAGGGCGTGACGGCGCAGCAGCGTCCAGGCTGCCCCGCCGTGCGCGCACGCACCCCCACAGCTCGTTGGCGGGTGTCCTTGTCCCTTGGGGGAGATTTTCTCCCCAAGGCTCAGCTGTAACAGGACTGACAGCACTGGAGGTAGAGTGTGCGATATTGCCCCAAAAGACTGCCGTATTAGAGTGATTGAACCACTGCACACTCAATCCCTCCCCGCATGTAAAGGCGAACTATCATCTCTCTCTCTCTCTCTCTCTTTCCCTCTCCCTGTCTCTTAATATCCTGATCGTCACTTTCAGGGGGGAGATGGGCCGGCGCTAGAGAGCGACTCTGCATGCATCTCTCTGCCAGACACCCCTCCCCGGACGCACCAAGGTGTTCTGCGCCAAGGCTGCCCATCCTTGCAGAGCAACAGCAGGTCCACAACACAGCTGCTCTGGCACTCTGTTACCGCGTACCTGTTGAAGTCAAATCTGAGAAAAGTGATATAGCTGTCCTGCCGAAGCTGCATCTGCAGACACCCAGAACCGAAAGGGTTGCACAGCGCTGCCTTCAGATACTGGACCAAATGAAGGAACTCCTGGTAAGACAGACGCTTCCTGAAGCAGCAAATTGCGTCTCTCATGCTCCATGCGAGGGAGCGGTAAGTTTGGGCCCACGCGCAAAGCGCTCGCCTGCCTGAGAAGGCAAGCTCGAAATTTCTGTCGCCAACTGGACATGGCTGCCATTCCGACTGCATCACGCCTGGCAGGTCCCGAACTTGGCGATCAGCCAGCGGCAAGTGTTTAAGCCTGGGCTGGGCGTAAAGCTGAATTGCGAACAAACCGAAGACAGCATTGGTGCGGAGGCTGCAACTTTAAGGTGCTTGCTGTGCTCCGGTTTTACTGCTGCCCAACCCTACTTCGGCATGTGAAGAAGTCCATGCTGAGTGGCGAAACGAGTGGAACCATGCAATCTTTGAAGCTGAGCAGTTCATTGACTATCGTCCCACTACGAGAGAGGAATGAAGCCGTGCATCTGGCAGAACGGCCGAAGCGTCTGGATAGAGCCGTTGATGACCTGCTAGAAATAACACAGGCAAGCGGGATCAGTGAAGACCTCGCGACTATGGCCTGGTAGATCACTTGCACGCTCCCGAGCATTTGAGAGAGCCTAGGGCGCTGCAGTAACTGCTGCAAGCGTGCCGATGTGCGGTGCGGTGGCCGGTCGTGACCTCCCGAGTACCCGCACTCCTCTGCCGCGATCGTGGTGCTGAAGCGGTCTTGCAACTTCCACATCTCGTGCCTTGGCTCAACACAGCCAATACCGATGAGGCGACTTTGGTCGCACCCTAGTCTCCAGCCACTCCGCAGTCATCTGGATGAACTCGTCGAACTCGATGCCTCCGGAGTTGTCACTGTCGAAGCTCTTACCTGACACGGCAATCTCTACGCGCGATAAATCACTCATGCTGTGTCGGGACGAAAGTTCGGCCAGCTCCATGCATGAAAAAGACAGCTCAGGCGGTGCAGAGAGCACACGTCTGCCTATCTGCTGAATCAATGACTCAGGCAAGTTGATCCTGGCCTCAGCGGGCAGAAAGCACGAAGGCCACAAGAAACGGAACCCCCTCTTGTGCTGATCGGTTCTGTTCACAGTCATTAGATGTGTCCGTTGCTGAGATGTCAGCTCTCCAAAAGGCATTGCAGAGCTCTGGCAATTGGAGAGACCCAGCACCCTGCAAGAAAACAACTTCTGCCAACAGTAAGCATGCAATAGGGGATACGATTAGCAGAAAAGCCGCCTTGTCGTCCAGGCTGCAAAACGCGGTCTTCATCTCCTGGAAAGGATTGGCTTTTAACCATCTCTCCTCCCAACTAGCTCCAATGTGCGGGCCCGGGCAAACCTTCAGGAAAACCATCATGCTGCAGAACTGCTCGAAATTCCTGGGCACAGCACGGCTCAGCAAAGCCCATGATGCCTAGGAGGTTTCAGGATGGCCCACGGAAGCACTTCTGGCTCACCCGTCCCCTCCCCGAAATCAAACTTTGGTGCTGTCTTCAGTCTTTCACACGAATCTTCTAGAGCTGGGCGGCAGAAACAAGCTGCCCTGACCAAAGCGGATAATGAGCCGCTCGCACCTTGGCAAAATGCGGAGGCGCACCTCTTTTTGCCTCCCACCTAGCTAGGACGAAGCCCGCATTGTAGGGTACAGTCTTAGCCTCTTTTCCCACCTAGACTTGGACTTGAGGCTTCATCACAGGAATGGGCCAGACACTTCCAGCACTTCTGCGGCCGGCACGTGCTGAGGAGGAACGGCCTGTGGCGGCCAAACCTGGACTGTCAAAGCGGCAAAATGTAACATGTTAATACGGTTGCGTTGCTCTTGATGGGAGGTCAAGGGTTTCTGGCCAGTTCCTGCTCATTGGGTTCGGCTGACTTTTACTTGGGATACCTGAGAAAATGACATGACAGATGGCAATGCCTGCACCTTCCCGGAGCGCTTGTAACAGCGCCGCCGAAACATGCAGCAGGTAGAAAAGGAAAATTCATCCGTGCGTCATTGCGCATCCGCTTTTGCGCTCAATGCGTCATGTCCGAGGTCATCTGAAGTGCATCTCTCTTGTTGTATAATACAGCAGCCGTTTCGCAGACCCATACACGCTGCGCAAAGCAGCAATTTGAAGCAAACCACAAACGCCGAATGAGACCGAGATATCTTCCGACATATCTTCAAGGGGGGAGCAGACAAAACACGAACACAAGCAATCCTCAAACAAACAGCTGACCTACTTTGCGCACAACACAATCAAAAAATGCTCATCGCAAATAGAGCTTGTTTTTGAAACAAAGGCTAGGCGCCAGGCATGGAAGCATAGAAGATGCCCTGTGTGTTCATGCTCGCCCTGAATTCAGTCGGCAATTGCACTTTGTGGAAGCTGTAAACAAGGTGCAACCATCTTGCATCAGTGCCCGGCAGGCCAGTGGTCCCAATGATGGTGCCCAAGGGCTCTAACGATTTCTTTATTTCTTCCAACCTGGGTGCCAACATAAAAGATAAAAGCACTGTTACTTGTAACGACAAAGGCCAATCAGTGGGGCCCCTGCACCTGCAAGAGCTGATTTGGAGCAATCCGTGCCGCTCCTTGTGTCTGCATGTCCTCGGAATCTGTAAGTCACAAACACTTGCAAGCGAAGCGTTAATTGGCGCCGTTCGCAACCAATAAACTGCATCATCACAGGCTCGAAGGAACTGCTGAGGCGAATGCCCATGCAGCAATGTAAAAGTCCTCGGCTAGAATCAGCAGGAACCAGACTGTCGACATCGGTAGCACCAAAATTGCGCTTCTAGGCACAGTCAACCCGCGACGATGCACACATGACCGCAACACACACACACACACACGCGCGCACACATACATGCAAGCACATCGTATACATATAAAGGGATATCTGCATAGCACTATACACGCAACGTAACCCACTCGACCGCAGGTGTGCAGCATGGGCTCCCATTCCAGTCGCATCTGCACAAACTCGTCAAACTCAAGGCTGCCGTCTTTGTCACTGTCAAAGCTTTGGCCAACCTTGCATCCATGGAAACAGCACTTTCCTCAAGCTTCAAGCAGCTTCATTATATCACACCGTTCGCGTGTCCATCCACAGCAAACTTGTCACATTTCCGTCCGTGCTTCGCAACACGTGCCTCTGCAATGATTGCAGCTTCCAGATTCACTCCTGAATAGTGGGGGACTGAGAACTGAACAGAACGAGCATATCGCATCATGATCCAAAAAAGGGAGATACATTGCTGGCAAAAGTGAACTTGATCTGCCACCGTCGGGTCCTGACAGTTGAAATGCCCGGCGAAGCTCTCCGAACCTGGGCACTTGGCAAGGGGTTATCTGGATTTAGCACGAAGCTCACAAGCAATCTAGGTCAGCTTCTATTCTACAAGGACCAGCGAGCTCGACACTCGATGGCGCCACTGCGGTCTGCATCAACCTGCTGGTAGCCAGCTTCAAGATGGGGCCTTTTTCCGTGCCGGGCTCGTAAGTAAGTGCCTGGAGGAAGATCGCCTTCAGGTTGGCCCTGGGTTACGCGCAAAGCCAAAAAGCGGCCAGCAGTGTGGCCCTGCATCGCTGGAGCGCTGAGGCAAGGTCAGATAGTCCATGAGCTCGCACCACTGGTTCAGCACCAACCTGCCAGCTCGAAAAAAGTCGAACCTCGACTACCAGCATGGCTCAGGATGACCGTATTCCACAGAAGGGACTTTACGGATAGCTGAAACGCTCGTTCAAGCTACTGCACACTTCAAGCCTCCTATTTGAATGGACACCTTCATCTACAGCATCTTCCGATTTAATCCGCGATGCACCCTGGCTGACAGAATCTCGCCATTCAATTACTGCAGCAGTTCTATCGCCCGTGATTGGGTAGCCAGCATTTATCAGATCTATCATTGGCTATCTTGCCATCGTCCAAGATGTAATTGATTGTTTTTGATGTGCATATCTCCGCCTGTTCTGGCTTCCAAATCTGGCCATCAACCAGCAGCATGTGGAAACCTTCCACATAAGGGGGTGCTTCGCCCTTTTTGACGGTGTGGGATACGACACAATTTGGAACTCATAGGCTTACCACGGCACGGCCCAGTTGCCTAGCCTGAAAGCTCCTGTGCAGCAAGCTGTGCTGCGTTCCAGCCTGACCAGTCGCCGGAACCGTTCTTGCTTCACTCGGCCTTCTAACCGACTAGCACGAGATTCCTGCTGAAATCTATCTGCAGGCGGCCAGCTACGGCAGCTCGTTCCAGAAGCAACATAAACTTGCAGGAATTCCTGCCTCAACGGTCAGTTTCACGAAGTTCAAGGCATTGGAAAGCCTGGCAGTCTTTGAACCGACACTCCAGAAGAGATGCCGAGACTGTGGGCAGTGTGGGATTCATGCAGAATTCTCAACCGTCATCACACTTAACTTTAACATGCCATGGCGGCCCCTGCACATCGATAAAGCCCTGCGCGCCAGCAAACTTGGCGAACCTCAACGGCCCCAGCTGCTCGGCAGGAAACGCCAACTTGGGTTTTCAGCCGTCAGTGCGTTTTGAGGAACTGGGCTGCAAGCGCTTCCCTGAACTCCGGATTGGACAGGCGGAATTGCTTTGCCGCCGGATCCTTCGTGAACTGCGAGTGTCATCTCGACAGTTCCAAAGCTGTCTGGCCTGGTCTGCGTCACTGAACAAACCGCGCTTCTTGCTTGGCGACAGCGGAGACAGAGAAGGCGAGCCTCGGGATAGCGGCCAAGGCCTGTACTCCCCAATAACGCTTGCACACAGTGTCCCACTCCGTCTTCGCAGATGAACACAATATAACTGTCTTCGGCTTCGTCGTGAGGCACCCACTGTAGGGTGATCCCTGCTGCATACGTCACTGTGCACATCAAACCTGGGCACTTGTTGACCATGCTGTCTCAACAGGCATGCTGATGGTCGCCTGGCAGCTGCAAACGGCGCCCCGAGGGATGGCAAAGAGCTGGAGTTCAAAAATGCGGGGGAGTGGCAGAACGGCCGAAGCTGCGCACAACTGCACCACAGGCACGAAACCAGCAGAAGTAGAACCTCCCGATCCTTCGTTGCTGCCTTTGTCGTGGCCAGCGTCACGGGTCTACTGACACTGCGGGCTTTGGCCTTTGACCATTGGCCGCTTGGCCGCTGCCACGAAAGGCTGGGAGCGCATTAACTGCAAATCCGAGCAGATTCTGATATTACAGAGTCCGCCTTCTGTGCACATCACTTTGGAGTTGAAGGTGGCCTCAACCAAAATCGCAGTCATTGAAATTCGGCGGGGCTGAGGTGTCGCTGCTGTGCTGTGTTGCGACGGTCTACGGCCGTTGTGGTTTAAAGTCGGTCGCGGTTCAACCATCATGGACTTCAAGCAGTTTGGCACATCAAGCGCTGACTGCGCGGCGCTGCTGCGCCACTCTCATGACTCCAGGGTACCTGCGTCCAATCCTTTATTGCCTTTACTCACTCGGAGTGGGAAATCAGAAGCAAGGAAAGGTGCCTGAGGACCTTCCCGAAAGCTGGAAGCAGAAGCGTCCTCAGTACAGAAAGACTCCATGTCTACAATATGTCTACACGCCTGGCCTCGCTGGTCCTGCTCCCGCCTGAGGCATCGGCTGAGAAGCGGGAGCTCGCCCGGCGGAGACTCTGTCGACCACGGCCTCGGGAAAAATCCTGCATCTGGCTCTGGCTGTGTGTTCGGGAAGCAGCGTCACGATGACACTCGGTCCCGCGCGAGCCGTAATGCTCGCCTCCTCCTTCCGAGGCCATGTAACAGCCCGGCCAAATCAGGGAACCAAGCCAGCTCCTGTTGAAGCTTGCGGCGCTGGACGATCATTGCATGTATCTGGTCCTCAGCAAGGCGAGCATGGCGAGCCCAGCCCCACAGGCCAGACCCCAATGGAAGCTGGGGCCATGGCACGGTAGTCTGAAGCCTGCAGGACTGCAGGATTGGCCAGGTGCATCCCATGTTACGCTCGCAAAAACCAGAAACGGTCGCGCCACAAGGCTTTGCAACGCTGGGTCATACAGTGCGCTACTAAGGGCAACTCAACTTGAACAGGCTGGCATGGGCACGAACGATGGTTGAAGGCCTTGAGCTTTGTGATGTCGCTGATTGGCATCCGGATCATCTTGTCACATCTCAGTGGAACAGATTCAGGATCTCTACGGCTCGCAGGCGTGAATCTTGCAATTCTGAGTCCTTAACAAAGGCTCGGCCTCCTGCCAGCAACAAACAGCTGTCTCCAACGCGTCTTCCAAACTTTTCACCATCACGGTATGCAGCCATCCATACTCTGCAGAATGCTTGCGACTGGCATGCCTGCAAGTAAAACTTTTCCAGGAAGACATCACGGAGAGCTGTCTCCGCTGAAGGCCTGCAAGTGAGGCTGGCAGAGACTGCAGGGGCTTCTGCAATACCAGTACGAGAAATGTGAGGCCATCTGGCACCTTCGTTCTGGGTTGAACTTCAGCAGGTTCAGGGTCAGGGTCTTGGCCTGCAGAGACTCTAAACTTAAACGACGTCGTGTGCAAGGAGTACGACACATCGCCGACACAGGCTCTCGACTCGTGCTTCTTGGCCGGCCTGTGCCGGGAGCTTCAGGAGGAACAGCACGCCGGAACTGAGTCGAACATGAAGGGACACTGCGACCCACACATCACTGATTCCCACACGGAAGAAACACGGATGTCGCTACGTCCGCGCCCTGTTGAGGGGCGAGCGATGGCATCTGGCGCACATTTCCAAGATTCTCCAACTGGGCAGTGTGAATCAACACCCTTGCTAATCAGATCATACAATCCTACAGTCCTACAGGAGGTTTCAAGCTTCACCCGTCCATATCCCGAGAGGCCGGCCATCGTACGAGCCTGACGGGTCAATACCCTGGGCCCGAAGTACAGATGCTCTTCCTGAGGACTGAACGTACTGGGACGTCGTGGTAATGGGCCCTGAACGTCGGGTCACAAAGACTGCACATCGGTGCTTTGGCAAATGAGCCCTCGGCGCAAATCCTGCTCGCTCGGCTTCCCAGTCCTCGGGGGCTCTCCCTTCTTGAGGTTAGAATTGATTCGTTGCTCCACTCTCTCGAGCTCCGTGCAGTTCGACGACCTGACGAAGTTTGGGCTACGCCGATCTTCGGAAAGGCGGCACAGCCCTCGCAGGCACCTTCTCGAGCTGGTCCATGGTAGACCTCGTGTGCCCAATCGCTGGGAGCTAACCCGTCTGAATCCTAATCTTATCACACTCGGGCAACCGTTTGTACTGGTGAGACGCGCCTTCCCCGAAGGATGGGCTTGCCCGAGACCTCCGCATCACTTCCGCGACACGCTCCGGCAAGCCCAGCAGTGACGGTGTTTCTCAGCCACAAGCCATTTCTCCAAGAATGCAGCCGACACTCCACATGTCGACTCCCTGCGTGACAGCTGACGGCACTTGTTCAATCTCGTTCACATCCTTTTTCAGCTGGGCTTTGTATGCCAGCTTGTTCACACCCTCCTTTCTGAGCTGTATCCGATTCGAATCTACTCAGCATCTTAACCTGAACCCTGTTGCACATGCCCGAAACACAGGACAGCTGACCTCCGAGTAGAGGGTGGACCCAAGTAGAAGCTCAGGCGCTCGATACCAGCCTGTGTTGCGGTCCACGGCTGCTCGAGGGCACAACACTCGAACAAGTGTGGCCAAGCCCACAGCGAGTGGCCACGTAGTCCGTCAGCAATGGCAATGCCTGCACTGCGTCCGCAGTCTCTTGACGGTGAGGTAACCCAAAGCTGCCACAGAAATCAGAAACTGAAGAATTGCACTTGCCCCCCCCCATGTTTTGCTCATACAAGTTATGACTGTAATGACCTTGGTGCGACACGTGCCCTTTGGGCAAACGACCGGTGACGAAGGCCGGAAGTGCCGGAAGCATCACTTCTATTCCAGTCAAGTCTTTTTGCTCAGCACATCTCTCATCTAGAGGCGATAGATTAAACCTTTACGACGGTCGCATGTGTTGTGGCTCTGGCCGAGCAACAGCAGTGCCGAGCCGGAACACTGGACGACAGACTCCTGATGAAAAGTAAAGACTCTTTGTTTCTCGCCCCAGGTTTTGATATGTGGCTGAACTTGGCCGGGCAGGCCTCGTCAGCTGCAGCCGAGTTGCGCCGCCTAAGCCCGGAATGGCCCAGACAATCGCAAATAGAAGGAATGTCACCTCCGTGGGTTTGCTGCCAAAGTGCCCAGTGGCTTGGACCTCTACGGGTAAGGCCGTTCGTGCCAAGCCTCTTGCTGTCCACGGCAGTTCGAACATTGCAATCACAAGAGGACTTCCCTGCGCTCAGAAGCAAGCCAAAATCGCAAAGACGCACGTGGCAATTCCTGGGCAATGTTGTTGCCATGCTGGGCTTACCCATTCCTTAAGAAGAAATATCGGGCAGCTAGCATCCTGAGGCCCGCTCGAGTTGAGCAGCACATTGGCTGGCTTGAGATCTCGGTGCAAGACCTGATGGGACCCAGAACGTTTCTGAAGTGGCCTTGACTCCAAGAGAGTCGTAAGCTCCCGGGCTCCCCCGGAGTGGACGTACTTCAAAGCCTGGCGGGGGCGTTCCGAGCAGCGGCCAGCGGCCGCAAAGCCTACGGCCAGTCTTCTGCGTTCTGCCGGTGCCTTCAGGATCTGATAGGTTACATACTCCACATGGATGGGCTGCAACCTCAAGTCAAACTCGGAGCACTTCTGAGGGCAAGGAGAGCGCTTGAGAATCTCGCAGGTTGGCTGCGATGGCTCGCTGGAGATCGGACCTCGCTCTGCCCGTCAGTTGAAAAACACATTGTGGCGAGGGTTCATTTAAAAGGGACTAAGACACACACTCCATGAAATCGAACATAACGTACAGGTCCTGCATTGCTTGTAGCCAAACGCAAGACTGTCGCTGACCACCGCTCGCTCGTGAAGGAAAGCGTGAGTTGAGTCAGACAGGCACCACCCCAAACGGCATGATGCAGCCAGCTGGCAGTGCGGGCATCGCACGAGCTGAAGTTCAAAACGGATCGAATCGAGACGGGGCTTCGGCTTTCAAGTGTCTTTGCAAATTCACCTGCTTCCCACCACGTCTGCGTCCTGGCTGCTTTCTGCCTTCAGCACCTGGGCTGTGCAGAGAGAGCTTACACGGGCTGAGTCACTGCTGCGCGCCCGATGCAAAGCATTTTGCACAGACTAGCTTGATCTTGCTTCCTCATCAATTATTTCAGCCTGCACTGCCAGCCGGTGCATCTATAGATTGATACAACAGCCTGTGATACTGGAAGATTCGTACATAGCAAAGTGGTGTCGGAACTCCGCTGCTGGAATGACGGAACCTGCTATCGAATGCCAAGGCGATACGTCGCTAAGGTTGCACGGCTTGGAGCAGCACGTGCATCAGCCGGACAATGTTCTCGTGACCGTTCAACTCCTGCGTTGAAGCGACTCGACGGTCTCGCGGAGGGTCGCGGAGGCACGGCACTGCGAGCATGCCTGGAGGAAGATGATCTCGCGGAAGGTGCGCTGAGCATCTGTGGAATTTTGAAAGGCATCGAAGCATTTCTTCAACGCAAAGATCCTCGGCTGGCGAAGGGAGACACCGAAGGGCAGAAGTCAAGGCTGGCAAAGACTGGCCTGCCGGTCTCTTTCTCTTTCACTTTCCAGACCTTCAGAGCTCTGAGCTGTGACATCTGATACTCTGTGAGAGGCTCAAGTTGAGCAGCCTGGCCATGTCGCCCGACCTGGTCTTCCTGAGCACCCAGCGATGCCATAGGCGCCTTTGCCGAGCAGCCGGACCTGGAACTACAGCGTTTGGACGTCTGGACACAGGGGATGCACTCTCCTGACTGCGCATTCCAGCCGAACTAAAGACTCAAGACCTGTGTAGTAGCAGGGAGGCCGCCGAGTAGAACACTGACAGCTCCCTCAAAAATATTCAAAGATCCAAGGGCTCATGCGGCATCCCTGCTGTGAAGCGGGCCACGTCAAAGCGCTTTAGGAGGTGGGCATCAGGCAGCTCCTGCAGAGCCCAGTCCGAGACGGGTGTCAAAGACACTCCATCCACTGACGTGCGAATGCCTCGAATCTTCAGCCTCTATCATGGCCTGCATCAGACCAACTGAGAGTCGGGCACTTGGCTTCCCCTCCGACATATTCCATCGCTGGCACCCATTATAGGCTAATAGGCAATGCAGGCAAGGGTTAGGGGAAAGTATTAGTTATGACCAGCAGGTCAGTAGTAGAGTCAGCATGCTGTTGGATCGATCCAGTGCCAGCAGGTTGTTTAGATGCTGCTGAGGTTACACTCTATTCGGCTATGTCTAGCAAGAATGCTCACTGCAGGCTGCACTTGGTCCTTGCGTGAGGGCCATGCTCTCCGAATCTCTCTGCTGGATCCGCAGCCACAACCCAGGCAAGCCATGCGATTCCAGGCCCATGCGCTGAGCTCACATCTGCTAGCAAATGCAGCTTAGTTTTCTCTGCTTCAACGATCCATCACGACGCCTCTGTGCAGTCGAACATGTAACGTCCGTCGAGTCTCGGATTGACTGGAAATCTTTTCCAGGGATCTTGCCAAAGGACTGGTGGCTACAAGACACATGGCAATAGTCCGTGCACACGGAAGACGGCAGAGGAGCAGCTTTGCCTTTGTACACTATGGCAGGTCTCACGCACGTCGCAGAGCGGAGGTCTGCCACCTTTTCACAGTACGGTCGATTTCACGAGAGTACTGGTGCATGCTGGTGCGTGCTTGACTACCTTGCCCGAACCCCATCCCATCTTTACGTTTGGAAACTGGAAGCTCTTCCTCACCCGATCAGGCTTCAGTAGCCAACACCAAAAATCCAAAAGCACCGATCCTTCCAATCCTTGTGCTGTTGCCATACCTCTGTCAATCCTGCCGCATTGCACCCGCACTGAGCACGTTGCCAAGGTGCGAGCGGGTCCTTGAACAGCAGAGCTATGGTGCGGGTCCTCCACGTGGACAGCCCTGCCGTTCTAAGCTCACCCAATCATTCGGGCCGGCTGCTCTACTTCGCATCCGTCCTCCCTGGTCTCGAAAGAGTGAGAATGCTGGATGGGGCGCCGCTGCCTTCCAGCAAGGTCGCTGAAAGTGTCCCAACTCTGAGCTCTTAGGCTCTCTGCGGTCCGAGCTGCACTTCAGCGCAGGTGCGGAGCCACAGATGGCCGTGGCGGCGGCCTTCGCTTCGGGGCGGCACCTGACTAGGAGACTTGAAATTGAGAAAAGTGGCACGCAAGGGCGCAGTGTATGTCTTAGTTGGTTCTTCCGCCAAGCTGCCCTCGGCTGGTGGCTCGGAGCTGATTGAGGGGGGTTGCAAGGATTGTCGTGGCGGCGGGGGCGGTGCTGGCGGTGGGGGTGGAGGTTCTGGGACGGAGTGCACTGATGGGGCGTGCCCTTGTGGAAGTATTGGAGGTGGAGGGTTGGGACTTGGAGGTACAGGTGCCGGAGGCGGGAGTGGAGCTCTCGCTGCAGGAGCAGCTCCCGGCAGAAGAGCTGCTGGAGGAGGTGGCGGCCGCTGCCCTGAATGGGACACTGCAGGTGCTGCTGGTGGTGGAGCAGGAAGTCCAGGTGGTGGCTGTGGGCAGGGCTGAAACGTCGCACGAGGGGCAACCGCTGCAGGTGCTGGTGGTGGTGGTGGTGGCTGTGAAAGTACGGGTGGAGGCATGGAAAGGGGAAGGTCTGCAGCTGCAGCTCTTGGGGATGGCATGGTACGTACCTCTGCCCGGGGTGGTGGCATTGCAGGTTCTGGCAGTGAACGTGGCGGCACGGTTCCAGGTGTCCTTGCCGAATCCATCGGCTGGATAGCCGCTGGTTGAACCCACGCTGTCGGAACATGAGGTGACACGTTTGGCCCTTGAGCCGACGCTTTGTGCTTGGGCCTTGAGGTCTCAGATGTTCCGATCGCTGTGGCGGCTTCCCCAGAGAGCTGTGGCGGCGGAGGTGGTTGGACGGCTGGTGTGGAGCTTGTTGAGGCAGGGGTCATTGGAAGTGAAGGTGCTGGGGGAGCAGCCGGTGGGGCAGGGGCTGGGGGCCGAGGCACAGGGAGTGCAGGCCGTGGCAAGGGTGCAGGATTGGGCAGAGGCCCTGGCACTGCAAGTGGCGGAGGCGTTTGCAAGGGAGGCGGTGGAGGCAGAGGTGCACGGGGTGCAAGTTGTGTTGCTGGAGGGCTTGTCGCCCTTGGTGGTGGGGGCAGGGCAGGTTGGGTTGGCGGAGGGCTTGTCGTCTTTGGTGGTGGGGGCAAGGACAAGGGCGCAGGTGGCGGCAAGGGCACAGGCGCTGGCACAGCAGGTGGTCGCGGTGGTGCGGGCGTCGGTACCGGTGGGGGTGATGGCACTGGGGGGTCGATCCTGTATGAAAGAGCCGGAGGTGACCGTGGCCTCCTGAATTTTTGCATTGGCAAAACATGCCACAGCACACGGTGGGCTTTCTGTCCTAAATACTCCGGGCTCTCGTGCGCGAGCCTGCGAGGTGATGCTGACGGAGTGGGCGAAGCGGCTACATCACCGCCACGAGGATTGGACGGCACCTTGCAACGAGCCGGCGATTCTGCCAACTCATCTAACTTCCTGCCCCTCTTACTGGATTGCAAAACATCGCAAAACCGCACCTCATGGGCCTCGGACTCAGGGGATTCCTCTCGCTTCCGCTTGGAGTTAACGACAATCGGCTTCTTTTTCAGCTTTTTTCCTGGTCGTTATGACGGCAGTCAACGCCACTCAGAATTCCAGACAAGTTGCGCAAGCAGCTTCGTTCCTGCCCCTTCGGCCCCTTCTCCTTTACCACGTTTGCCTTTCGCTTTCCCCTTTGACTTGCCGCCCTTCCCCTTGCCTTTCGCCTCAGGAGGCCAGCACCCACGAGACTCCCGAGGCAGTCGCATTGCTTTTTAGCACTTCCAGAGCCTTTATGCAACCTAGTGCATAAGCTGCTCACAGGCTTGCGGGCGTTGCGACGAGATTTGGAGGCGGGCGCCTTGGTGATACGACACAGGCAAAGATGCCAATTCAAGAGCTAAGCACAATACCCTGCCGCTGCCATCCGAAGCAAGAAAGGCATCTGCCACCTGCGCGGCGCGCAGAGCGCTTACAGGGGATCGGTATCGGCCCGCCCGCGTCCCGCGTGGCCTTGGCCCGGAGTGGAGCCTTGTCCTCACTGCACAGCACGGCAGTGCTGGGAAGGAAAAAGATTCATTCGGTTGTAACAGGAACCGGCGCGCGACGTAACTGCAACCACGTTTCAGAAACCGACCACGACGTAACAGGACCGAGGGAGACAGGTAACTGAAACTGGGCGGGACCAGCAACTGCAACTAGCGAGAACTGTAACGGAAACCCGCTGGACAACGAAACCGAAACCGGTTTTTGGGTTGAGACTTTAGGTTACAGCGTTTAGAGAGCCCTTCGAACTCTAAGAAAAAAAGCCCTTAAAGGCCCTGAATAAGCCCTTGACACAAGTCAGAAGCCCTTCAAAGCCCTTACCCCTTATAAAACTACTGTAAGCCAAGGTGCACCCGTGTAAGCCCTTCGTGAGCCCCATAAATGCTTTACAAGCCCTTATAATAAGAAACCCTCAGAAGCCCTTCATAAGCGCTTCATAAACCTCAAAGCCCTTTAGAAACGCTTAGCCGTAAGCCCTTATAAGCGCTTCAGAAGCCCTTGAACCCTTTAAACCTAAACCCTGCCTATAACACTTCACCTGGACCTCAAAAACCTAACATCTTCAAACAAGAAAACCTAAACCCCCCACCCCTAAACCCTAAACTTAGACAACAAAGTTACCTCTCCTCTTCCTGTCCCCCTTCCTCTCCTCTTCCCTCTCCGCTTCCTCTCTTCCTCTCCTCTCCCTAACCCTTTTTATATATGCAACCCTCATCCTTTCTTAAGGCAAGTCCCTAAAGCCTCAACCCTAAACCCAGATATCCCCCCGCCTCAAAACGCATCGACTGTAAACTGAAACTATACTATGGAAAGCTCTACGTTTCCTCTATGCGTACACTCCCCTCCAAAACCCCCTCTCCCCAACACCCCAAACCCAATGCCCTAAACCGAACCCACCGTGAACCCTAAACCTAAACGCTCAAAAACCCATGGGTTTCGTTAGGATTTCTGTGCAGATCCTAGTACAACAATTGTTTCTTCTGGTTTTGGCTCTGCAACTGTGATTTTGACTTCGGACTCATTGACTCATATTATCACCCTAAACCCAAAGCCCTGAAGTACATAGTCAGAAGTAAGGCCGGTGTTGCAGGGCGGCTTCCGTCACAAGACCCATGGTTCTGGTTGCGACTCCTACCCGGTTCCGGTTACAGCCCGGGCCCGGTTTCCGAGTTCGTGAAACAGAGTTGCTGTAACAACCCACTGGTTCAAGTTACAGCCTTTACTCGCCTGGGCTGGGGCCCTGGCGATCTTCGTCAGGGACACCATGAAGACGCCGTCGCCCCTGTCTTTGACTTTGAAACCTTAGACAAGCCCTCGAACGATCTGTCATCTCTTCAGCAACCGAGTGCGAAGGCACTCTTAGTTGGATCCTGGAGGCTGCTCCCAAGCGCCCGAAGGATTTGCACTAGGGCGCTCTTGCCTGGCAGCTCCTGACAGCTGTGGGCTTTTCAATTTTGGATCGGATTGGCAAACATCAGCTGGCCTCTTTGAGCTGGGTGATATCTGAGCAAGACTCCAGCTCGGACAGGGCCAGCTTGCTGTTGGCTTTGCGCAGCACCTGGGACATGGCGCGAGCTGCATTACCTCCGACAGGCCCAGCACCCTGCAGCCAAAACACCTCTGCGGTAGAAAAGCGAATGGCCTGGAAGCAAGATCACCACGCTCACAGCACATAGTGAGGCTTCAGTGGGAGGCCTATGGCCAAATTTGGCAAAGCATGCCCATCAACTCACCAACTCACCAACTTTCTCTTTCACAATGGCCCGAAGCAGCCTCGAGTATGCCGAGTACCCGGTTTCTTTCAGCGAGCTCGGCTTCCTGATCAGAAGAAAGACCATTGCACTGCTATCGACACATGAACGGCCAGATTCAGTTGGCAGCACGGCTACGCCGATATTGCTCGGACACCCCCACCTCTGCCTCTGGTTCTGACATGTCCTTCGAACTGTGTATCTGCGCTGGTGGCAGCAGATCAGTCTCTAGTTTCCTGTCTAAGGGATACATGTCCTGGCGCGCCCAAGACTCTTCCCCGGCCATTGAAGCCTCTCCGCAGAAAAGCAAGATGCTGCGGCACAAAAACATGGATCTCCGTCACACCATGCAACCGGCATCGCCAACAAATCTGTGGCAATGGTTCGGCGTCTTGTCCCGAAGGCCTCCGAACCAGATTCCAACTCTCGCCCGCCCGGTGGATAATCCATCCCGTCCTCTGGGAGGCCAAGACCAGGGCCGGTAGGGCATGCAACTGGTTACTGCCCCACCGGCCCTTCCACTACATGCTGAGGTTTGACCAAACACTCCGGCTCTCTGCAGCCACAGACACCATCTCCAGTGCGTCTGCCGCCACGTCTTCCGCGGCATCGCTTGCCGCATGGCTTGCAGCGTCCTCGCATCTTCAGGCGCCAGCCTTTCTTGAACCGAACTGCCCCGGAGCTGGCCTCGGCCTCGGCCTCAGTTTCGTTTTCATCTTCGGTCAGGGGGTCTTTCTGATATCGCTGCTCCTCCAGCAAGCAGTGCCAAGACTGACCAAGAGCATGCCAAGCATTCCCAAGCCTTCTGGGCAGAGCATATCTCAATCTCTTTCTCCAATACCAGGACTTTCCCGGCATGGATCGCAGCATCTGCACCTGCAGCAGCTGCCCCCCCTGCAGTGGAGCACTGAGTCCGAGTTGGAGTCCCGAGCCGAGTCCCTCCGTTTTTGTCCCGCCTTCTTTCGTCCCGAAACGAGCAAAGCCAAACTTCAAGCGATGCTCGAGGTGGACGTGCGTGACCTTTGCTTTGCCACGGCACGGCGAAGAGAATGTTGTGTGCGATGCTAGTCGCCTAGTCCATATAAGCGGTTGCCGACGCAGCTGTCTAGCCATAAAGTCTCTATAGGAGACTGCATTGACACCGCTATGCCTTCGCAGCTCCATCCCGCTGCTGCTCGTATCATGAATCGTCCAAACAAAGTCAAGAAACTTCACCAAACTTCCGGAGCGACTCCTTCAACTCATGCCTGGCTCTGCGGCGACAAACGAATGCGGAACTGAACGCTGAGGCGTTCTCTGAGACCCGAGATTGAAACGAGGTGCTTCGACTGCAAGGTCTCGGGCAGGTTGCGGACGTAAATCGATTGCTCGTCCCGCCTTCGCTCTCAGTTACCATCCGTGCGTTCGTTCCTGACAACCGAAGACCCATCACCGCCGACGCCCGATCTTCGAATGCAGCAGAGCAGCGGGATGAAGCCATCGCTCAGCCGCTGCCGCTGTCGACGGGAGGTCTCCCCTCGGATTTGAGCCAGTCTGAGCTGTTTGGTAGGTTGGCTTAAAGGCTGCGCGATTCGCCGAAGTTTTGACCAGCTAACCCAGGTACCAAAAACGACTCTTCTTCGTCAGTTTTGCACGCCTGCTTGGTAAGGTCAAAGGTCTCCAGTTTGAGTCAACATCGACCGCTGAAGCACACTGTGCCTGAGCCCTGCTGGCGTTCTCGTGGCGACGTCGCGTGCAAGCCCCCTTGCTCCCAAAGCACGGTGAACCTGATGCAATGAGTGCTGGCTTTCACCAGCTTCCATTTTGCGCTCTGCGTTGCGCTCTGCGTATATTACATTGAAGAAGGATGTTTCCATGTTCCTTGGCCTTCCTTGAACAGGTCCCGAACCCCACAGCCACAACACCAATGGAAAGTGTCTCAGCGACGGTTTTTTTCTACACGTACCTGAGATCTGTTGTGCAGGGGGCCCGGGTCCAACCGTCGATCCCGCTCAGGAAAGAAGGCCAGCTCTGACTGTTCTGTTCTCCGGGGCGTGGGGGACTTGTCAGGTCCCCGAAGAAACGAGCCGTGACGGCCTGAAGAACATGTACTCTGATTGCTTGGATTAGATGGCAGCCCGGAGTGTTTGCACGAGTTTCGAGTCAACGAATGCACTCTCTGCTCCACTCTGATGATGCAAATTACAGGGCCCCGTACATCCCCGTACGATTCAGGATGCGTTCGCTGCAGCAAAGCAGCCAGCATGCTCGGCTGCACGCTTCAATTCTTGATCTCGCTTCTTGGCACTCCTGAGGCCAGAATCTCGGCAGCATGGCAAGCATTAAATCAGCAAGTGCGAGCAAGGCACTTCTGAGCTGGATCCTTTTTCTTTCCTCCCTTTGCGCCGCCCTTTCCGCCTTTTCCGCCCTTGCCTTTGCCTTTGCCTTTGCTCTTACCGCGACCTTTGCCTCTGCCGCGGCCCTTGCCCATGGCGGACACTCGATAGCAGCATGTGCTACCACGGCATGCATTTGGGGGTGGGTTGGCAGGTGGACCGTGTGGCTGGAAGTGGGGCTCTACAAATCATCGCCAATGCTTGCCAAAGAAGCTGAGAAACCCTGCCAAGCAGGCATGAACTGTCGCCCAATTAGCCACAAAATACAACAGCCCTTGTTCGGACCAAAGATGGCAACAAGATTCATGCACTCGTGCCGCGCCACTCGCCTGCACGTGTGAGATTACGTACACCGCCGGGAAGAAGTCAACACGAACTCAAATCGACATGGTAATATGGTGCACGCTTTTTCCGGTGCCTCGACAAATCGAAGGTACCTGAGGTTACAGATGCTTCATGAAGCCTCAAGGCTCCTCGTGGCAGGAAGTTGCCCTTTAAGGCAACACCCTTCGTTAGTCTGCTGCACCAAAAACATTCGCCCAAGAGACATGTCGCGCTTAAGGCTTAAGAGCCTTAGCAGTTTGGCAGTCTAGCTAGCGTCGGAAGCGCCATCTTAGATCCAGTTCTCGGGCCACGGGTGACACTACGATGCTGGTCGCCAGCAGCAGAGGATGCAGGTGATCGAAGCCGATGTATGGATATGAAGCATCGACCTGCATCCTGCAGTCTTCGCTGCATAACCTAATTTTAAAAACAAAGGGACACTCACCCAACTGTTTTAGCCCTGCATGATGCGGTTTGAGCTTATTGTGGGATGTCGTGGTGTCCCTCAGCACGCTTCGACATGTCCACGCTGGCGATGTCTGGGACGACACTCCAACAGTCTCCGGAGTCAAGCTGAAACTGTGGTGTCATTGACGAGTTTGCCGTCAGAGTCGGGGTAGAAACCTACGACCCCACATGCTTAACAGGATGATTTCTCGAGCCAGTCGTCGGTGGTAGCAAACCGTTGGCGTCACGTGACGAGCTGAAACACTGCCCCTCGTCATCGCCCACCAACTGACAAACGATCAGACTCCCAAAGTCTGCTCCGAATGAGATGCTGGCGCAGGCACAAGCTGTACCGAGACAATCGAAGACTGAATTTGCCCACCTAGAAACAACAACTGAGCAAGGTGAGCAATGTCTCGCTGTTCCATGGCCAAGAGCCATCTCAGGCTCTCGAAGGCTGTACCCAGCATCGCATGACTCGGATGGAAACGCGCACGCTGTGCTGTGCTTGAAAATCAGGCACTTTTGAAGGCGAAACGGGTGAAAGTGTCTCCATATCCATCCATCGGTAGCAACTGTCATTTTCAGTTATCGCTAACTCCTGACACCTGGGGTGATGGCCTGACCGGGTGGACTGATGTGAGAACACCACTATATGGCTCGAAGCCCCTTGAGATTTACTTCTCTCCAGGCGGGATAGCTCTCAGATGTCTCACACGAACCTCGGCTTGTCAGCGACAGGTGTTTTCTTGCCCAACATTCCGCGGCTCTAGCTTAGGCCTACTGTACCCGGCCGATCACGGCTGAAGGGCACAGACGCTCTGCTAATGCCATAACCGGCCTTGATGTACGCTTCCTGCTTCTTTGCGGAGTCGCTCGCATCCTTGAGGGCTAACTCTCCCTCGAAGCCTCCAGAAGTCGGGCATCACCGCCCTTCATGAAACTACATGTCTCACATCGTCTCACATGACTGCACAAGGCACAGGCGCCTTTTGGGTAGATCGTCTCAAAAGCCATATCGATGTAGCCTAAGAAATCGTCTGCCTTCCCCGTGTCCTCCATGCAAACACAGGCATCTTTTGCTTAATGCTCGAGGAGACACTCTACAGCCGTGGCCGAGACGTGATAGGAGGGTTAATCAACCGCAAGCACATAACCCTGCACACCCATCGTGCAATGTCAAGCAGCCAGTCAAGAGCAACCTGTTGCAATGAAAAGCAAAACTTCAGGCCCGTCATTCACGAAGCATCAATGAAAACAGGCTGGCCACTTTTGTCGTTCGCATCCAACTGTCTTACATCTGGCAGAGCCTTTGCTGAAAGCCGTCGCTGGCTTGGAATGCATCAGCTGGTAAGCCAACCTTCGCCTGGAATGCAAGTTGTCTTCTTTGCAACTGCTCCGTCGAATTCCTATCTAGTGGGACCTTCCCTTCTGTATCATGGTTGCCGTAAGAACAAAGCACGAGCATAGTTGTTGCAACCGTAGGAATCGGAAGGGAGTTCATCATGAAGCATGGTACTGCTTTGCACTTGTGGCGGGCACTCAGACGCCGCCGCACCGGCTCCGAACTCCGCTGCCTCAAGGCCTCCGATCAACGGCGACTCTGACAGGACAAGCAAGCTCCGTGTTGCGGGGTGTGATCGACCGTTTTTGAGTTTAGACCTGCTTAGACCTGCAAAGCTCGCAGATGAGGTGGCAAAGGTCCAGTGCATTGCACTATGACTTTGAACGTCCTGTGGGTTGTGGTGCCCGCCCGGTTCCAGCCATTCCAGCCTCTTGCCCTTCAAGCCTCCCATCTTCTTCTTGTTGAGCAGACCTGCCGAGCTGCAGAGCTCGAGCATGCTCGAGCGCTTGAGCTGAAAGGCCGGGAAGCCGAGGGCCCTGCTGGCAAAGTCGCTCTTTCCAAACTTTCCACGTCCCCCACCAAGGCCGGGAAGGCCACCGCCTGAGCCTCGCTTCGAAGACTTCGCTGCGGTTTCAGAGGGGATGAAGCGGATGCTTCCAGCGTGGCCTCCTTTGCCCTTCTGCTTCATGAACTGATAGCCTGCAAGCAGACGCCGTTGCTCGCACGAGACGCGAGCCCCTCAGCCGGCCTAGCAGAAGCACCACTGCACAAGCCATCACCGGCAGCTTGAAGTTGGAGAAGGGGTCGCTGGTTGAAGGCGGCGTGTAGACCTTTTCCGATGCTGCAGTCATGAACGGAAGCCAATGGGCGAGAAGTGCCTGCATCAAAATCTCCAAAATCTCCACTTCGCGCCCGTCTTCTGAAAGAAGAGCTACTACATCTCCATGCTGCTTTCTTTGCACCTGAAGGCAGCACATCAGTCAATGGCATTCCACACGGTGGAGGTACTGGGGTGTCACCAGACAGCCCCGCCCAGCCAAGATGAGCACGCTCCAGTCCCGGATAGGTAGTCTTGGCCGTCGCCAGATCACATGACCACCTGGGCCTGTCACCAGGTCTGCTACAGCCTCGCACATACTCACATAGGCCAACTCACAAAGGCACCTAACTCTCCAGGACGTCTTCGACCAACGTGTTGGCTCAAGTTCAGTGCCTGTAAGATCGTGCGGAGCTCAGCACGAGCAGTTGCGTCTTCGGTTCTGGGCTCTTTGCCAGCAGCGATGATGTTGGCAACTCTGAGGGCGTCGATTTCTGCAGGCCAATCACCTCGGATGCTGGTTTTGAGCACGTTTGCCAAAGCTCCTGAAACAGTCCGTGCATGGTGCTACATGACTAGCAGCGAGCTTACTCCGTCAAGGAGGACTTGTAGAGCAGCCTGCGACGACTGAACGAATCCCCGAACCCCTGCTGTCTGCGGCGGGTGCCGCAGTGGGAGTGTCCTAGTCTCTGTGCTGCCCCCAAACTCTCCCACCACCTCGCCGCATGCATCGGGAGTCCGAGCGTGGAAACAGCCCAACGTACCACTGTGGCTTCTAAGACTTTTAAGGTGTGAAACCTTGGCCATCCTTGGCCGAGTCCAGTCTATTTTCTGTTGAGGCTTCTTGAAAGTATTCAAAGCAGCCCCACTGCCTCGCACACCTCCTACCAGCGCCTCAGGGTCCCTTGACACGAAGGCTATTGGTTGGGTTATCATATACATTCAAGCGCTTCGCACAAATTTGAGTTTTGTTGCTTTTCCAACTCATGAAGCTACAGCTCCTGACAGCAAAACATGTGAGCCTCAATCACGAGTACATGGGGTATCATGAGGCTACGATCGGACCATGCACGGTATAATGCTCCTTCGTTCTCCCTGTGCATTCGCATTGTGGCTCTGCAGGCTGACAAGATTCTGTCAGTACGGATGTTGAGCGGCCAGCGACTTCAAGAATGCTCTGGACACGGACGCACAGTTTCAGCTTTGCTGAGTGCCTGATAGGAACCAATTATTTATCCTCTTTTGTTCCGGGACGGAAACGAACCTGTGGCTAGCCCGTTGGATTGTGGGCAGCAAGAGGCGGGGCACGCGGGGTAAGCTGACTGCTTTTTGAAGCTGCAACACTACCTGCGCTGAAATCGGCAACGCCTTATCAATTCGCCAGTCTGCGCACTGGCTTAAGCCAATGCTGATGACCCCAGCTTCAGGTGGGGAATATAGCTTTTGTTTCAGAAATAGAAGAGCGGTGTCGCACAAAGACTGCGAAAAAAACGGACTGAGGATGCTCATTGTGCAGGCTGCGCGATCTGTGGGTTGCGACACTGATGCTCATGGGGGGGGGGGGGCGTCAAATCGTCGGTAGGCGTGGCTCCCCTTTCTCGGGGTTGCCCATTTACACTTCTGGCCGAAGCCCCCGGCCCCATACACAGAAAAAGCACTCAGCCATGCCACAAATCCGCGAATGGCTGCCAGCTCCAAAGGCACCTGCTTGGACTAAGACTTAGACTCGAACACTAGAAACTAGAATAGAGTGTCGTGCCCTTGTTCTGGCCTTGTAGTCTGTGGCATACGGGAACTTTTTCTCGAACTCACAGTCCTTCCGGTTTTTCACCTCAAGCACAAGCTCAGCTGGAAAGGGCAGCACGAAGCTGGACTGGATGGGTTTCTCAGCAGCGGGCGTTGAAAACCCAAACCTTCGCATGTCAATCCGTCCGAGATACATGAACAAAAGAACTGCTGTGTCCTGCTTCGGCCATGACCCCGAAAACCACGTGATGAACGCACTGCTTGCAGCTATGGTGCAGCACCACTTTCGTCCGATAGCAGTACCTGCCACGCGCCGACACAGAGAGCCATGGCGACGCCAGGCATAAAGTCCCCATCAAACGATCAAACACCCCTCTTGGACGACTGCAACTGCCGGCAACTGCACCAACCGCGTCCCGCACTTTGGACAGCTGCTGGCTGTCAACGGTGATCGCAGCCACTCGCCCCTGCGAGTCAGAGGCACAAAAAACAGCCCCACAAAGGCCCATGCTGGCCGCCTCGAACTTGGGGCAGTCGATGTGCTTCACTTCGGCTTTGTCGAGGTTCACGTATCCCCACTCCATCCCGGCTCGAAAGATCACTTGCGAATGGAAGGAGTGCAGGCCTTCCACACCCGGACCCTCCATGGCGGTTGCATCAACCTGGTTCTTCAAGGTCCCATTCTTTGCGAAGACACTAATTCGCCCCATGGAGTCACCTGCAATGATCTCCCGGGTGCTTTTGTGGTTGGAAATGGCCAACGCACTCAAGCTCCCATCTCTCCCATCTCCTGGGAGTTGGAGCTGGCGTTGCAGCTGACTTGTGACGTTCAGCTGGGGACCTAAATATTGCGACAACTTCTCCTCAGAAGAATTCGCTCGTGTCGCTCGCTCCTCCTTGCTGACTCGCCTTTGCCGCACTGAGATTCTGTGGACCCGAATGGAGCCACTGGCATCTCCTGTGGCTAGCAAGTGCTCCTCGTGCGTCGGAGAGGTCGCGATGTGCGTTACTGGCGCCTCGTGGCCCGCCTCAAAGCTCAAGAGAAGCTCCCCAGTTGGGCTGAAGAGCCGAACCGTTCCCTCTGCATGGACTGCAGCTAATATACATGTCGGCGTCTGTGACTGCGGCGACGAGGATGGAGAGGAGGATGTTGAAGGCCGTGGGTTTCGGAGCAGCAGCCACTCGATGTGAGCAACGGGCTCGGCCATGGGCAGAACCGTTTTGGTGACAAGAAAATCTTCTGCAGCAGCAATCGGTGCTCTATCGCCCTGGCCTGCGATCTCGGATAGCAAAGGCAAGCCTTCGGTCAACGCTTGCATCTGCGCTGCAGAGAGTGGGAGCCCCTTGCCAGCTGTTGCAGCTCCTGCACCAGGACGGGGTTCTACTGCGCGGATCCGAGATGATCCGAGGGCAAGTCCGCATCTATCCCTGTCACTACAACCGTCTTGCGCTGGATGGAGCTCCTTGGAGTTCTTTTAGAAAAGTCATGCGCTCGTCGCCCATCTTCAACAGTGTCTTGAGCTCCTCCATTTCCTGCCGGACGCGCTTTGAATGAGCTGCTGCAGCTCTTGGTGGCAAAGACCAGGCATGACGTTCGGGAACATCCCCCGTTCCCTGCCGCCTGCGTAATGAGGTCAGACTGAGGAGACGACGGCATTGGCGCTGAAGTCGTGGCTGCCTTTCAGAGGCCGAAGCTCAGACAAACAAATTACCTTCGTCAGGCACCTTCGGCGTTGGAGCCCTTGATGGCGGAGTTTCTGGCTCTGGTTCTCTGCAGCTAGCACCTGTCAGGCAATCTATTAATCTTTTCCGTTAACGAGAAGGACCGTCCCGTTTGATATCAGCACTGGCGCAAGGAATGTAACTTGGAGTTCTCTTTATGCGCTTCGTTATGCGACGCCGACAAGCCCCGTGCCTGCAGGGCCTGCCGGACAGCTGTCCTCCAAAGTTGTCAGCAGACAAGCCCATCCCAAGCCGGGATTGCCAATACGACTACAGCCGACTATGTCAACACACCCCCTCCTGAGCCAAAGCCATAGATGCACAAAGCATCCGGAGGAGGAAGCATCTCGCCTGCCCCCTCCTTGCAGCTCAAGGCTGTCTCTTCAGATTTTGGGTGGCCGACACGCCTGCACAGGATCAATCACTACGGCCCAGGCCTCATGCCAAGCGCATCCACCATGCGCGCAGGCGCGGATCCGACTCGATTTGTCCGCAGGTCCGCTTCGAGCCGAGATGCAATCCATGCACGCTTTCCGGCAAGACCCTCCATGCACCACAAACCCATATACGGTCCATACAGGAGTCTTCTGCGACTTGGGCTCTGCTATGCCTGCTGTGCTGAGGTATTGACTTCCCGACCTCCCGCGCTTCTCCCCATGACTCGCCCAACCTCCCCAACATCCGGCCTGATCGAAGACGGAGAATTTCAGCTTATCCCCTTGACCCAGCTGCATCTTTGCAGCTTGGTTCCAGACCTCAAAGAAACTGCATCAGACATCTTCTGTCTGCAATGAAACGCGGGGCGTCTACGAGGTGACTCGGTCTGCAAACAAATCGAGGACCGCACAGGATTCTCCTTATTCTTCACCGTTTTCGTCTTGAATTTGGACTTCACCTAGACCAGGAATGCAATCCAGCGCGCAGAACTCACAACAGTGCAGAACTCGGCGCCTTCCCGATGGACTCGCAAAGGCAGTAGGGATCGGAGGTGCCCTCCAGCCAGTCTGCGTCCCGCAGACCCCGAGCAGAGACACATTTCACCTGTCAGGTAAAGACGAGTCGAGGACAGGTCGTGGCTGAAGTTTCCTCACCCTGTCTCTCGGCCCCAGCCCCAGCCTCGAACTCGTAGCGATTCTCCTCGGGCTTTGCCGGCTTTGGAGGTTCATCGGCCCTGCGAGGATGAAACCCAAAGAGACGCAGCGGCAGGTCTTCAACTGCATACAGTTCGGAGACTCTCCTTTCCGGAGAGCACTGCTGACAAGGTGCTGAGCGTTCGCCTCTTTCGGGGAATCGACCTTCGGACTCGAGGCTGCTGTGACGGGTGTTGTTGCTCTCACGGGTTATATAGAGCTGCCTTCAGCTGTTGGGAATCTTCTGGCTTCGCTTCCTGCTTCGCATCTGCAGCCTTCACGTCCTGCAGTCACACAATTGTTAGCATCGAGGGCTAAACTGTGCCAGATGCACTGAAAGCCAGCTCCTCCTCCAGGTCTGGCTTTGTGGGCGTCTTCGGCGCCGCAGCCTTCTTCCTTGAGACATCCAGACGCAACAAATCGCTGTCAGGCCTTGACACAGCCGGTAAAGCGAAGGCAAAACGGAGAGGCTCAGGCGTCCTGAAGCCCGTCTATTGGTCTGGTACGGGCCAGGCAGAAGACAATAATCCGAAACTGATTCACGAGAACGGAGGGCTTGCCCACCAAGAGTCGAGGACACCTTTTTCTTCGCTTTGGCTTCGGCCTCCTGTGATTCCAACCGGTGCAGGATTCTGCGGGTGCCCAAGACAGGGTCGTGATGCGCACTCCTTGGCCTTTTTCGCCTGTTCCTGACGAGTTGAAAGATGGGTCCAAACTCAAATCTTCGTTCACCCAGCACGACCTCAGCAGCCTTTCGCTGAGCTTCTTCCTTTGCTTTTTGCTCCTCTTCTGCAGCTTTCTCTGCTAGCTGCTGTAATCCTTGAGTGGCCACTTCCCACTTGACTAAATGCACAAGGCAAAAACGCGAGAATAGAAACGCTACTGGCAATAGGACGTAGTAGGGGCCGTGCGCTGGGCCGCTTCCGCTTCTTTCTGCTTCCTGGGCAAACTCCGCTCTGCTATAACCAACTCATGGACATGGATGTGCTTCTGGGTGCATCCTGAAATTTCCTTTCGGGGAACTTATGGCTTGTGGTCTCATCTGCAGCCGAGTTGCTGCAGCGTCACATATGCTTCAGCCTGTGGGCAGGTCGAGGTCGCTGAAGGCTCACAACAGTCCGACTTCGGAGAACCTGTCCACGCTTGAAGAACAGGGCCTCCGTGAGCCAAAGTGGCTTCCCAGGCGGTGGAATAGGCTGATCGCTGAGGCATTTCCTCGGACGTTGCACTTGGGCTCGGCTCGAGGCACTGAGCATCCTTCTTCGTCCGGCTAGCGTGAAGCCCCAATCCGCAAGCTCATTCCCGATAGTGCTGCGAAGCGTCGTTTCTGCGACTGCTTCAGCAGTGCTACCCACCTCCTGTTCAAGAGGATATTATGTTGAAACGAGTCCGAGCTCGGAACCACACTCACTCAAGCGCCCTTGACTCTGTGAAAAAACCGACGAGAACAAGCATGAAACACGGAGACAAGAAAGAGAGAGAAAGAAAGGAGCAAAATATAGAACGAGTACGATCTGTCACGAAACCAACCAAGTACCCGCCTGAACTGCGCAGCACCTTTGTTGCACAGCGCCCATGCCCCTTAGCGTTCACGACTGCACAGGCTGACACCCGGTCCCCGACCTTTGCATCCCAGGCTAAGTTGCACGCGCACTGGAAAAGCTCTCAGATGCGGCTTACAGCACGCCCCACGCGACTTTCGTGAAAACGCAGGCGGTCGGGTGATTTAGAGGTGATGACATAGATCTGCCTACTTCCATGCTGAGAAAGCTCACGTCCGAAGAGCCGCCACCATATCAAAACAAGAGCGGCATAGGCCCCTATTTTGCGCCAGACCGACTTGCACAAATGGCGACAGAAGACTCCGTCTGCTTCTTAGGGGGAGACTTCGTGAAACTGTGTATCAGCAAAGGTGCCCGATGGCGATCGCACTGTGCCTTCAACATCGTTGGAGAAGTGCGAGATCTTGGCACGTGAGGCCAAAATAAACTTTTGTTCGTCTCCACAAGCTCAACACACATTCTACGAGCCTGCTGGGAACTAGTTTACTTTCAGATTCTTACTAGTATTCATAATTCATGACACTTGTAGCCTCTGACACAGCCAGTGGAGCGCAGTCAGTAGCACTGATGAGCTACAAGATGTATGCAATTTGGGACCCATTGCCCTTTGGCTTCTCCGCACCATCCTCGACATGACAAGCTATGTACACACAGCTGCCTGAACAGGAAAGACTTTCGGCGCTCAACAGAAAAATCTAGGCTAGACATGCGGATGGTGCGTATTGAATTAACAGTATGAACTACGCCTGTTGTCGGCGCTACAGAGTGCACAGGCCGTGCAGACACACCCTGCCCACATGGCAGCTCAAAAGCAAGACAACAGCATGTGCAAATATGTGAAATGTGGTCTTGGCGAGGTGCCTGCCGAATACGAGTGAATATATACGGCAACTTCCAGGGTGCGCTGACGTGCAGGGACACCCTTGTGAGCCATAGCATTTCATGGCTTCAATCGAAACAGACTACGTGAAATCTTGGTTTCGCTCATGCCAGGGTGAGATACTGAGCTTGACCAGTTCACCACCGCCTCAAGTGGCCCATTACCTATACTAGATCCTGCGCCTGACATGCAACCAAAACCTGTAACGGTGCTGCGTCTTGGAATTGTCAAGCTGAAAAAGAACCGAGTCGTCCGGCACTGCGCAAGACTAGGAGAATCTGTTTGTCAGGGACTTTGAACGAGAAGCCCCTAAAGTAGCCCCTGTCTGCCTGCAAGCCGACTCGGCAGAGGACAGCCCGCCGTATGTGTGCAGCATCACTATAACTCAAGCCTCTTGTCCTGTGGCAGAAAATGCGCCCTGTACACGAACGCGAACCTTCGGACAAGCGCAGTGCTATGCAGTGCTCATGTCATGAAGCATCTCAAATCCATGTTTCGCACTCGTGCGATACTGCTACGGCGTACATGCAAGATCATGCGAAGGCCTGCTGCACAACCCCAACGAATGAACACACTGTGAGTCACTCCGGGCCTTGATTCCTCCACCCGGAACCTGGCACGGAACAGAGCATCGCTATATGCCCAACCCAACTTATCCACGAGGATGCCGTGTATTGCATTTTGCATTTTTCACTGTTCGTACTCATTGTTCATGCCAAAGCCGAGAACAACTTGAAAGGACGGGCGGTCACGAAAAGACGAGACTTCAAGCAGAAGCCGCAGGGATCCGCAGGGTCCAGAGGTCCAGAGGCCCAGGGCCGAGTTTGGGTTCTCGAACACAATGAGATGATATCAGACGCATCGTGGGCAACCGCTATGTGAAGTGCCTAAATGCGCCTCCACTGCTTCCTGCTTCCCACGCAGACTTCTGTTTCGGTTGAATTATGCCGCATTCCACAGCGGGGGCATGGGGTTTGGTCAAAGAGATGGACTGGCCTGGTTGCCGGAGCTGTCTTCCAGCGGTA